ATTTATCTGGAAAAATGACAAAAACAGAATTATTGAGATTTTTCAAGAAATTTCGTTAAATCTTTTTAGTCTTTAAATTGCGATTTTGGAAGTAATATGCAGTCTACTTTGATTTAAATCTTTTACCTATCTTTTATCTAATATAAAATATTTTTCGCAAATTTTAATAAAATATTTTTTTATTATCATATTTTACATTAATTGTTTGTCACTTTTTTAAATACGATTTGAATAACAGCGGTGAGACCTTGATTATCTTATTTCATTATTCCCCCACTGAAGTAAAGCAAATTACATTTTGTCGAATGGCATAATCCCATCCATTAAACACGCCAGCGATCATCGACAATTCTTAGACGATAAGATTCTGGCGGTGCGCAGCCACAGCTTGACGCGTTTAAAGCTCTCAATCCAAAGTCTCTTCCTCTTAACACCGTGAAATTGATCGACGCTCCACGGATTTTAACGGCTTTCATATATCCGTAAAATCTTCGTCAACCCGAAAATCCATCCATCAAAATCGGGTGACGCGCGCGATGCAGAGAGGCCGGCTATGAAAATTCCTTTTGCGGATTTTTCGAGGTTGATCGCGATTTTAGTACGGGTGCGTACGTTTGTCAGACGCAGTTGCAACGCGTTTTCGCGTCGATCTGCTCGGAATTTCGTGATTGCAGAATTTGGTCATGCGGAGATATCGATCTTGGCGTATAATTCCCCGCAGCGGTGTCGATTTGCCGTTTCATCGGTTATTCATTAACCCAGAAATGGATGGACCAAATGTCTCAATACGACCGAATTATAATGATCTTAGACCAATTTCGATCGATTAGTTGCAAATTTATTATTATCTAATTGAAAATTTTCAACTGAACCACGCTGAAGAAACTAAAATTATGCCCTTAGTAATTGCTAAATTAATATAAATCACTTAAAAAGGGAAATTAAAAATCTATTCTAAATTACAATATTATACAGTGCATTAAAACAAAAATATATGACAATTTCTTCTTTCTTTTCGAACTATTTCTCTTTCTGCTTTAAGATATAAATTCTTGTCTTTACCATTAATTTTTGTAAAATTTTAATTTAAATTAATTAAATTAATTTACAACAAATCAATTTATAATTATTTAACAACATGATTTACAATCATTTTATATTTGAGTTAAAGCACCAACGTCAATCACAGAATATGAAATAAAATTTTTTACAGTTAGGAAATATCGCGATAAATAAATTCGGTCTATGACGCGCATTGTACACTCTAAAAAGTTATAGAGGATGTTATAATCTTGGTGCACCATAATAGAGCTTAAAGACGCGAAAGTTTTTCTCTTTACCTCCGCCAGAATATTCCAGACTTTTGCTAGAACTCTCCTGTTCGCGAAAATTACTCCATAACCTTCCGTCACGTCCGTAAACTTACAAGTTATTCGTAAAAAGCTTTCCGAAAAACACTTGTAAGATACTATATCATTTTATTTTCTCTATCCGATAGATGATGTATCAGTTACAAAAAAGTCGATATCGATCACGTAATCATTTTAACATTTTGTTAAAAAAGTCTAACATGTAATAATAAGAAAAATTTGACTTGCAAACTTCTTTTAAATTTGATAATTGAATTTATAATCAAAGAATTACGCAGAGAGAATATCGCAAGTATAATTTATTATTTTATTTATATTTTCCCTATTCTTGCTTTTTAATATCATGTCAAATAATTTAACACGATGCAATTAAAATTTGTTATAATAATATTATCTAGAATTGTAACAAAAAGTTCTGCAAACATTTCAAGGAATGGCAATAATTTTGCACAGAATGTCGATATTTGAAGAAACCTGATCAGTGTGATTTATGAATTAACTTTTCAATCTATGTGAAAACAATAATTTATGGATTTCTGAGCATAATGTGTGATCCGCTGCTCCGTTCGACGTTTACCAATAAAGTAGCAATATCATACTGACAGATGGTCAGATTATTGCAACTTCCGAAACGCAATCAGGAACATCGAACAGGAATCGTTAGGAGAGATTAACCGTAGTTAACGATCTATCAAGCTCCTCTGAAATAACGACTACATATGGAGTTGCTCTAATTAAAGTTGATTCAATAAATCACTTTACTAGTTTAATCCAATTCCGTTCATGTTATTCCTTCATGTTATTATACTTACAAATTGTATCAGTACTCCAATTTTATACAAATTTACGCGATATAAGCTAGAAGTATTCTTCGTTAATAAAGATAAAAGATAAATATGTAGGAATAAAAGAATTAGGAATATTAGAAAAATATAAATCGTTTAAAAAGTATGTTTATTTCTCATCGCCGTGTATTGTTGAATCTGGAAATTACGCGTCGTCAAAGATTCGCGCGACCGCAGTCAAAAACGCGTATTTCATACGGTACAGTAGTAATGAGCGATACTTGTATTGGCGTAATCAAATTTCGTGGGTGAATGCAGCATGCGTAGTTCGCGCCAATCTGCATATAATGATCGGCCAATGTTAGCAATATTAACACGCAGCATCCGTTTCCAAACACACGTGACGAGTTACTTGGGTCCAGAACAAATACGATAACTTTGTTACGTGTGGTGCGTACCACGCTATTCGTGTTATACCATTTGTCGGGCAAAACGGTGCTGGTATCTCTCGTTGTCTGTTACGTAAACCGTCTTTTTTTTTATCATCGTTTTACACGAAAATCCGTGTAAAACGATGTTGCGTAAAAGAATGGAACTGAAACTGACTGAAACAAGCATCTCAGTAATTTTATTACTATTAAATCTTGTAACAATTCCTTATCGCACCGATACAATTAATTATATATTTCGCGTATTGACGCCCATGGATGGAATATTATTTTACATTAACGCTACTGCGGTTTGATCAAGTTCGCGGTGATTTTACAGCGCGGATGCAACGAGGCTAATTCCAATCAGCGCGCGACGGAAAAACCGCATATGAGCGACACGCAGTGCATTCTACCGCGATCTATATCGCTAACGATATAGACGTCTGACCTATATTCCGACATTCCACTACATCGGGCACCGGGAATCGAAAGCGTTGGACGTCCGAAAAAATCGATCGTTCGCCGAAGCGGGTCCAGAGTAACTCGTGGTGAGGATGCGGCGACGCAAGCGTGCACGCATACATGCGTCCCGCCCTCGTGCAAACGTACGAAGGACCTCTCATCTTCGTCCGAGTTAGCTTCACGGGGACGACGGGGTCCTGGCGGATGCATAATGCCTGCCGATGTAATCACTCCGAGCCGTTCGCCGATGAACACCTGGGGTGTACGGCTTCTTTAATCTCACGGACTCACCTCTAATACGCACGGAGGAGGAGGAGACGTGTGTTGAACAGGATGCACTTCCGGAGGAAGCGCTAAATATCCTTTCAATCTCGAAGCTTCAGTCGCGCAGTCGGGGGAAGATTGCGTCGGATCAAAGGGCTGCTGGGCTCTTTCGCATCGTATTCGAGCACAGGTCCCCGGAATTGTGAATCCGCGCGGAATACGTCCCACGATCTCGTCGCCCCTCCCCCCCTTCCCCGTTTCCCCAACTCTAATAATAAAATCCGCAGATCGGATGTTTACAGAGGGTTTCCCCGAGATTCTCGAACGTGTCGACTGCCACTCGCGCTCATCCATCCATCGTCTATTCTCGCCTCATTTTACTTTGAGATATTCACTGTCCGGCCGAATTAACTCGCGCAGCGGCTAATTCATGAATATGCTAATTATCATGCAATTCTACGAACGTCATTGATAACGACGAGAGTGCATCATCATTTCTGCGCGTTTGTAGGAATTATCAGATATCCGATAGAAAGCCTTCGGGATTAACGAGACCGCGAGATTCCGCGAGATTCCGCGATTGCACCATTGTCATTCCTATTACAGATACTCGTGCAATGACGCGAAGCTTTGGATAATTCTCTATTTTAAATTGGCAAAGTTTTCACTTGTGGATTATCTATTATAATTGAAGTTAAATAATATGACAATTTAATGTTATTTGTATTGATGAATTTAGCTCAAATCGATTGTGCTTAGAAAAAAAAATTTATCACTTTGTTGATCCAAGTTTTCTTTTCTTATATCGGTCTGAAGATATTTATTATTTATTATTTTCTTCTAATTATCTTAAAATTTTAATCTAAAGTTTTAAAAAATAAGTCAAGTAACATTACGAAGGTAAAACGAAATTATTTTGTTAAAATTAAAATTAATTGGAGGAATTTTTTGTAAAAGAAAGGAATCAATATATAAAAAAAATAACATTTTTCTCTATTTAAAAAAAAAGAAAGAAAATAAATAATATAATTTTTAATTATTAAATAAATTGTACTTTTTATTGCTTGTATATCTTGATACAAATAAGTGATTATTTCATCATATTTTAAAAGAGTTTAACAGAAATCAAATTATTTTATATTTAAATGTAAAATATGTTTACAATATTTGTTGAATTGATTTTGTTACTATTGTTGATATCAAAGTTTTGCAATAGGAGTTTACATTTGTCGGCATATTGACAACAACTGGTTAGATAGTTAAATTTCTTTTAGCATAGTTATCATATGTACGCAATAGATTATATAAAAATCAATATCTATTTTGTAATTTTATTTATTTATTGAACAATTCAAAAAATATTGTAATAGTATTGTAATAATTATTTCTTTATACAAAGAAAATCAAACTTTTTCTCTTTTTACTTTATTTATTAATATCTTATCTACTGCTGATAAAATATAAGTTTTATTTCTATTGACAAAATGTTATTAAAAATTGTGAACATTATAGTTAATTATTTTAAAAAATTTGTTAATAAGAAAAGATTTTATTTTCTTTATATTTTATCAGAATAGATTTTATTTAAATTGTTTTTATAATATATGCATTTATTTTTTTATAATATATGCATATGTAATAAAAGGTATAGAGATACAGTAATTAATTAAAAATAAAAAATAAAAAATATTAGAGTAATTTTCATTTTTATCTAAAACATTACAAAGATATCAAGCATTATTTACATGCTAATATTAATGCAAACATATTTCACATCGATTGCTGCTCTTACATTGAATTTAATAAATATCGCTAAATACGCTTAGCCTCTATAAGCATCGCGCAAATGCTTTTTCCACAAATCTTGGTAGGATAAAAGCTGCCCTATGTATCTTATCATTGTAATACGACATTGACATACGATCAAGTTCTTCATCGCTGAATATCCTTATCGGTTCGGCCAAATTTGTTTCCTGAAAAGAAAAGAAATGGCTATTATATATAAGATATTTAATACAGATATACTTTAAAAAAAATTATTGAATAATGAAAACTTTATAAATACGTATTCAAAATTTATGTTATTATCATATATTATATTTAATACTAACTTCATCTAAACTTCCAAGAACGAAACCGATTTGTCCTGTGGGATATGTCGGCACACTTGTCACCGCGTAGGCAGCAACGGGAAACACATTCTTGCAATGCTGTAATGTGCTACACACTTGATCCATGTTCATCCATACCGTACCAGCTTGACTAGCAACAATTCCACCTTGCTTCAACGCCGCCTTCAGTAATTCATAATACGATTGCTTAAAGAGATTTTCAGCAGGACCTAGACAAAATATTCAAATTATCAGTATTGTTTACAATATTTTTTGTTGAAGATTATATATTCTTTTTATAGAAAAACACTTTAAATAGCTCAAAATCTTTTAAATGATATAAAAATTTGCAACACTTGCCTACAGGATCACTACTGTCAGTAATGATGACGTCAAATTCTCCTAAGTGATCCCTTAAGTATTTGAAACCGTCGCCAATAGAAATGTTTACTTTAGGATTATCAAGGTTCAAACTCAAATCAGGTAAATATTGCTTGCACACTTCGATAACTCGATCGTCGATTTCCACTAGCGTAACCGTTTTAACATCCGGATGTTTCAAGACTTCTCGAACAGTTCCACCATCACCACCTCCGACTATCAGGATCTAAGAAAAGAAATTCCAAAAAATTTAAATCTATATTTTCTCAAAGATGCTGGACAAAAAAAATCATTAAACTATAATCAATACAAGACATTTTATCTGTATATTATCATAATAGAAATAAAAAATATATTATAACTCTGTTTTTTACAAAATCAACTAGTTACTTAAACAGTGATTTTATTATTAATTATTGACTACTGAAAAATCTTCATAATAAATATAATAATAATGAGTAATAATAAATAATAAGTATACAAACTCAATTTTAATTAAACCGATATGAATTTACAATCCTAATATAATTAATATATAAAATATAATATATTGTTACACTTACATGTTCAGGTTTAGGATGATTACAGAGTGATAAATATGATATCATCTCGTGGTAAGACATCTCATCTTTTTCGGTGCATTGAATCACACCGTCGAGCATCAAAGCCTTGCCATGTGATTTTCTGTAAGTGCGACATTTGTGTTTAACAATTTTATTTGTGTTTAATGTCGAAAATTGTCTTATATATTTAATAATTTTATATTGAAAAGATACTCACGTTTTTACTACCAAGATATCTTGAAATTGAGATCGTTCGGAATGCAAAACTTCTTCTATTTCCAAGGAGAGTGCTACGCCGGGCCAAAGATCGTTCACTTCGCTGAACCAACCTGCTTTTATGACGTCCATATTGTAGTTTGCGTTCGATTGAAGATTACTCTCGAAGAGTACTGTGCATAAGGAATTTAACAATGTCAGAACAATATGAGTATAGCATTGAAACGAACTTTATTGCTTGTAAATTGTGTAACAAAACTAGACTGCATGTTAGTTTAGAAAATGCATCATGTAATCAATGATGCACTTTGAGTATCATGCCATGCTGATTGATATTTCCTTTCTATCGTTAATTTAAGCTATACAGAGAAGAAAAAAAATTATTGACACAACATATGTTTTATACTGTCGTAACAAATATTCAATCAAATAGTCAGTCTTTAAATAAAAGATCTATTCATAATATTCTTTTTGTAGTTTGCTCAAGTAAATTAATTCATTAGAATAATAAATTAATTTTTACATTTTTAATATTAACAGAAGGATATAAAATATATAATGGTAAAATCAATACATTTTTAACAATACATAATCTGTAGCATTATATATGATAAATAAAATATCATCTAATAATACTCCAAAAATCTTAAAACGATTAATCATACAATAGACTTGATTAGAACTAGTGACAAAATATTTCTACATTACATTTTTATTTATTACTCGATCTTATTTGAATCTATATTACTTAATTTTTCATATGATAAAGAATTCGAATAGCTCTTGAAATTTCCAACCTAAACTTTGATAAATATAAGATAAATGTAAAATGCAAAGAAAATAATAATAAAATAATAATGCGCTTTTTAAAAAGGAGATGCAAAACACTGAATTAAGTAATTCTTGATAAATATAATCTTCCACATGATTGGCTTCTGTTCATGAATTTCAAAATCATTACGAAAAACATTACAAGATATGCAACTATTGCCCAATGATATTTCATGTGATTTTAAATTATTTTTTTAATTAAGAAGAGATGAGACCTTTTGCTTGTCACAAATTATTTATAGAAGTGGACGTATAAACAGATCTTCCGATTAAACTCTCGTACATTATTTCTTGCGTATTTTGTGTAATATCTCGCACATAGTAATGATTTATTTATTGAAACTACTATTTAAATTATTTAATTATATTTAATTTTTTATATAAAATATTGATAATAATCATTAAATATTGTTGCATTTAAATATATAATTATTTGTACAAATTATCTGTAGCTTTCGTCAAAAGATGAAGACATCATTTAGCTTATTTATTAAAAATTTTATAAAAATTAAAATAAAGCCGCTTTCTTATAAAAAATAAGTTATTTTAATTAATGCTCGTATTTCTAGCGTGCGATAGTTCAAATAAGACGAGAATGAGAAAATTGAAACTTATCAGGAATTAAGGTGATAAGTTTCATAATTCTGATTTCTTATCAATGAGATGCTTTTCAAATATTTAATGATATTTAATTGCAAATGATGACCACATTGATTATTAACATTGATTTAAGTATATAAGATAAATTCTAGTTATAATATAATTAAAATTTCATTAGAATAGATTTTCATTAAAATAGATTAAAATTCTTATATAATTAAATAATAATCAATATGCTATATAATATTTGATATACTATAATGTTTAAAAAAAAGCCCAAATAATTAATATTACATTAATATATTGCCAAAAAGTACGCTACCTCCTCATTTAGCACTATGTAGATGTAGTCTATTATTTATTATGACAACTTTTATCTACCACTGATATTGTACCAAACATTAACAAAACATCCTTTAAATATTTTCTTCGTTAAATTAATTTACTTCGCGTCATTTCACATTTATGCAAAATATCTATATTTCTAAGCAGCAATAATTTACCTATGATGACTCGCTGCTCGTCTGAAGAAAGCTCGAGACAAACTGAAGCCAAAGACGTGTGTAACCCGTGGTTTCTCTTTATGACTGACTCGGCTGTTTAGATAGGTTTATCGTCACTAACACACTGCTCGATAATGTGATGAGGCCAATAAAGATTTATTCACATCAGACGAAAATACGTCTTGCCTTGCTATGGAACAACACAATTTTTCTTTATTTATATTTTTAGTCGCTACGTAGTATTCAGATGCGTCATATTATAATTCTTTTAGATTTATTTAAAAATTCGAGAAATGTTTTCGAGAATTCGAGAACTTTTTCTCTTAAGTATTTATAGTCGCCACGTGATATTTAGATTCTTATAAATGTATTAAAATAATAAACTAACTTATTGTATTAAAAATGTTTATAAATAAGAAAATGTAAAAATAAAAATTACATATAAGATTACGAACGTTTCGATTTAGACGTTTCGTTTAGATTAGATCACCTTTAGATTAAATCACCTATAATAATCTATTATGATCAAGTTAAAATATATAAAAGTTAAAATATATAATGAATATAATATAAATATTTAATCCGCTAAATACGCAAAAATTATAATTTTATTGTTACTTTATTGCAATCATTGTCCGTTTCAAGAAGTTTCAAGAAGTCATCGAAAAAAATTATAATATTAGCGCATCTAAACATCACATGGCGACTAAAATGTAAACGTGTAAGTGAAAAAATACATTTCTCAAATATAGATAAACCTTAAAGAATTGTAATATTGGTGCATCTGAACACCGCATATTGTTTTCATTTTATTTAATGTCACTTCTTTTAGATTTATTTATAAATTTGAGACATATATGATTATATATCAAATATCAAATATTATTAATATGTTATTAATTGTTAAATCGATTATATAATACTAATTAGAAATGCACACTTATCGAAATGTGATTTTGTTAAAAATTATTTTTTTATATATTTTTATATATTTAATATGAACAGGCCTTTAATAGACAGATAACAGATAGTCTTGAACTTTACACTTTATTTTCTCGCTCAAAGAGATGAATGTCGTGCGTATTGTCAGTAAAGTAAATCTCGAGAGACTGAAGATGCAAACTTTCTCTTCGAAGGAAAGAAGAGAGTCCCTTAACACTACCTGCTTTTTTCCTTCTAAATTTTGAACCCAACAAAATATATCAGGGTCTTTATAATAATAATATCGTTACTATAGAATGTTACTCAGGTAGTCTCAATAGTCAGGTATACTTCAAATGCAAATGAAATTCCTCGGACGAAAATTTTACAATAGTACAATAGTAGAGAAAAAGGAAAGAGGCATTAAAAAGGCACTTCAAAAGCTATATTTTACCATTCGAAACATTCTATGAAAAAAAAAACTTTGCCGTAGGCTGCATGTTTAAAATTTTAAATGATACAGTTTACCAATTAATTAATTAAAATTTATTTATTGTATATAAGTGTTAGAAATAAAAAAGGAGTAAAAATTTAGATTCTAGATCTAATTTTTTTATAATAAAATAAATTTAGAATTTCCTCTTGTTTATTTAACTCGTTTGGATTTAAATGGATTGAATTTATATTTGTCTAAGACTGGCGCGATGTAATTTATTCACGCTCTGGGAAATCATTAGTCACCGACTATCGATCTTATCAACTCTCTCCAGTTACCCCTGAAGGTTCATATCTATTAACCTTCGGGAGATAAGTCTGCCTAACTATTAAAGAGCAATTTTAAAGAGCATATAAGTAAAAACAATGAAATTTTTCATAACTATAATTGAGAGAAAAACAAATGATCAATGCTCGTCTAATAGTGTTATCAACAACCATCTTTTCATATTGATTTTCAATACTTCTCGAAATAAAAATTTAATAAAAATCAATTATATTATTTCCTCAAATACTGATTAACTTAATTTAGACAAAGATGTTATTTTTTTGCAACTTTTTTTAATATCTATTTTTTAAATTGATTAACTATCGTATGATGCAATCATATCAGTTATCGTCTACGGATTAAATTATATTTGTCTTTTCGATTTTATCTGTTGTCTATCGATTATAATTTTTTGAAACTTAAATAATTTTCATTACTTTCGTTTTTTCAATACAAATATAAATCTTAGTTTTCAAACAAAAAGAGAAAATTAAAAATTTGTTGAATGGATGTTTCAATGGAAAAATCATTTAACAAAAATTTATCCGCAGTAGCTTTTAATAATAGCAACATAAGATATATTCAGATCAGATTTATACTCTTGCTCCCAACATTATTGGCCTTGTTACAACAGAAAACTGCAATTTCGTCTGAAGATAAATTTTTTGATTGAAAAGTCATATAAAATTTTACCTTTCCCTATATTTTAAAATCAATATTACACAAAAGATATTGTACCTTCCCCTATATTTTAAAATCAATATTACACAAAAGATATTGTAGGCATTTTTTTGTTGGTATCGTTGGCGAACTACTCGATTCGTGAGCGGATAAGATACTGATACTCCTGGAAAATGGCCGAGGCTTCCAAACGGCGCCAACACAAGCCACGATTCAATGCGAAAAATTAATTAATTAAAAAGAAAGTTGTGAGCAAAGATAAAAAAAAATGCGTGATGAGCAAAAACCGAAAATGCGTGATGAGCAAAAACCAAAAATGCGTGATGACACAATACAAAAATTACTGTAGGGACGAAACACGTCCCATTCGTTCAACGGCAAAGGTGACTCGAGCAGATAGGTATGAATATTCTTGAACTTGAATATTCTCCCGTTTGAAAAAACAAAGAGATGCGAACACTCTTTTTCTAAGAACCGATAATTGACAGTTCGGGGTCATATATATTGTGCCTCATTAGGTGTCGTTTCGCGCCCACCCTCCGAGAAGAAGCGGGGCCCCGAACGCGGATCCTCAGTCTCGTCATGAAAAGTTGAAATTATTTTATAATATATAAAGTGTATATGCAAGATAAGGTGAGAATATGACGAATTATATGATATTTTTGATTAAAGTGTCATATTCTGATTGCTGAATCAGTGGTGTGTGTAGCGGCGTCCGGACCATGGAAATCAAGGATCCAAGAGGTGTTGCAACTGCTAGTCGCGTAGTTTCGAAGTTAGTTATGTCTTGCTTTCGCTAGAATACCTCTCAACCATTTGCATGTGTTGCCGTATCCGTTTGAGCGTTTCCCCATCGCTGCCTTCAACACTCGTACGGGTAAGACACCATGTATTACTTCAAACAAAGTCCGTAATTCCTACGAGATTACTCGTCTCGTTAAGACAAATATATCCATGTTTATGAAAATGTCTCATTTTGACACACAAACACGTCATTTAATTAATAAAAAATTCTTTTATTTGATCGCTTACATAACTTTTTCTTGTCCTTTTGGTTATCTAGTATATAGTATTGTTATATTGTTAAATAAAATTTAATTATCGTAATAATTAAATCTGACACATTCTCTTATGAAATATCCACTCTTAAACACTAGTATGTGATGTAAAATGGATAATTATAATGTATTATTGTAATGTTATATTCATTACAATTATATATTGCTTTTCAATCTATACTCAACTCTTTCTTTCCAAAATTGTAAGACAAATTTAAACATCAGGCATCTGCTATCTCTACATATACGTGATTTTGAAATTGCGATTGCGTTCTCATTAATTATTGGAATTAATTGAGAATTGATAAATCAAAGCGTTACATTAATTCCGATTATATTATATATTGTAACCTGAAAAGCTATTCCATATAGTCAACGACGCTTTCAACTTATTTTTATGATACATACACGATATCCAGACTTTTCCGGAATTTTCCGCCCGACAAGTATTTGAGAATCGACGTAAATGGAAGCGAAAACAAAGATAGAAATCTTCAACAGCCTTTCTCGGCAGCGGAAGTGGCGCCAATATGATTCCTTTTCTTTATGAAATTACAAAAGTAGAATATAGATATTACGGAGATTGATCTCCTCTTCCTTTCGCATGATCGCACGATCGGTCGACTCCAGTTTTTTACTTTTTGCCTAACTGATAATCCAGATATTGGAAAAATCAGACGGAATTTTCTTTCCTATCAGATCTTCTAATTGATTAGCTCGGTTTCAATTTATTGTTTTCGATTAAAAAAGGAGACATTTTAATCTGAGAACTATATCAACATGGAATATTTTAATGATTAAAATAACAGTTCTCTTTATACATTTACAATTATTTTATCATTTATAATTGATATAATTTGGCTTATTAATTAAATTTAATATCCGATTTATTTAAATTATTTAAATACTCGAATTATCTGGCTAATGTAAGTATTCATGCAAAGAGCCGAGTATGTTCGAGTTTAATTCGGAAACATTTAATTTATTTATTTTGCCAATTTTTTTCCACAAAGAATCAAGCGAAAATGCGTATTCCGGCAAAGCTCGATAACATTCGCGATTTCGACGCACTTGGGATTAGAAGAAATGTTACTTAATAGCAACATCGGTTTTCTTACGGTTATCGAGATTCCTTTCTCATCGGTTCGCTTCGACGATACATTTTCGAGCAGAAACTAATACCGGATGATACGTCGGGATAGTATATATCAGATTACGCTAGCCCAGGATGCGCGAGAGAAACAATGTTAGATACATCAGTTAAGTCGATCGTAATTACGGTCGACCTTCGTGAAATATGTGCGTTTCAAAAAGCGTTAGCCGAACAATATCTCACCATCGCGCGCCTCGTTATCAGCAAGTGTCGCTTTATCCGGAAAGCATTCGTGAGATAATAACGATGTACGAATTTCTCCCTCACACAATTTTATATGGCCATCATGAATGTATTGGTTCTTTTATGTATATATATATATATATATATATTATTTGTACTATATATATATATATATATATATATGAGA